CCTTACATTATTACATCACTTGACATTAGAGAAAAAAAATATTGTAAACAATAAATATATTGATCTTTAGCTATTTGCAATTAAAAATTTTTCAAATTTAAAAAAATTATTAAGATTAAAATTGAAGTTTTAAAATTTATTTATTTAAAAATTTCGTAAAAACAAATGCCGCTGTATTTGAACAGAGGTTCTCTATTCATGCAAATTTCAACCCTTTTTAACCTTTGAAACGTCTGAGAATTTTAATTAATTTCTCGAAATCCTCGAAAATGTCTATTATAAACTTTACGGAAATAAAAAATAGAATATTTAAGCTTTCTTTTGACACAGATTTTGTCAAAATCGGAGACAACGTGTTTTGAGATATTTATAAGTTTAACCTTCAAACTAAATTTTTTATGCTAATTAAACGTTTTTTTAAAAATTTTTTTTACAATAATAAAGTTTAGAAATTTCTCTTTCGAAACCACTCATTGCAAAAGTAATTTGATTTAATTAAATGGGAGAAATAATTATTTAAAAAATGTCTTATATTGTCAATTGTTTACTAGGGGTATAATTTTAAAATAGAATGCCCCATATTTTAACGATAAAAAGTTTATTTTTTTAATTTTGGTTGAGATTTGAGACCAGTAGGCTGCACATCGCAAAACCAAAGATCTACTTTAAACGCCTGTAACGTCGCTGCATATGTAATATTTTTATATAAAAAAATTATTATATATAGCTTATATTGAACACTTTAAGGTATGATTTTTTTCAATTCAATAAACTATAACACTTTTTTGTAAAAAATATTGAAGAAACGTGCATTTACACGAGTTTCCCATTTTAAAAGATTTTTGTTTCTGGAAAATCAAAAATACTTTTCACTGTATATTTTGGATGTAACAGTAAAAACCCGGGCTCAAAATGATCCAGTCAGCAGGATCATTTCGATCTGCAGCAAAAATGAGTCAAGTAGGTGGCGCCACGTTCTATGTCGTTTAGCATTGGCTCATTTTAACCCATTAACGACCGCCAGGACGAAAAATTTACCTTCACTTAGCAGCTGTTATTTTATATGCAAAAATAATTCAAAAAATGCAGGATAGCCCATTTCTAACGTAAAATTTATCGCTCTTTTCGATTCTGAAGTACAAATTTAATTATAATTAAATCCTTAATATTTATAACAATTTTATTGCAAAAAAACATGATTTTCTGCAAAAAATTTTTATTCAAAAAATATTTTGACATGGAAAACGACAGTTAATTTGCTCCGGAACCCAAAATATCGCGTCCTCGAATACCCAGGTACAAAACTATATAGTTGTGAATTTCAATATTTAAGATGGCGGACGACAAAATGGCGATTTTCCACTAAAAAAGATTTAAAAAATACTATTTTGCAAAAAATAATATATTGATGAATTATTTTTATTTCTGCACTATATACTTATGTTTTTTGGGTCACTAAACACGAATACGGTATAAGTTTTCAAAAATTCATAATGGCGGATCCAATATGGCGGACAATTTTTTTCAAAAACTCAATGGATTTATCTGAAATTTGTTACTCGAGGGTTTTTGGGGTCGCCGGTTACGAATCTGAAGTTACTTTTCAATAATTCAACATGGCGGATCCGAAATAGCCTACAAATTTTTAAATTCACCGAATTTGCTTGAAAATCAATACTTATTGAGTTTTTGGGGTCGTTGATTTCGAATTACAGTAATAAAATGCTAGATCAGTAATAAAAAATGTGTTCGATTTCAATATAAATTTCATATAAAATAACAGCTGCTAAGTGGAGGTAAATTTTTCGTCCTGGCGGTCGTTAATGGGTTAAACACTGGTTTTGAAATAGCAACAGTAATTTATTTAAACAATTTTTGTTGACATTTTTTTAATTAAACTGTTATTTATTGCAGTTCATATCAATAAAAGATATAATATTAAAAAAACATCATTTTCTAGATATTAATTAAAGATATTTGTTTAAGTTGTAAATAAAAAATCTTGCAAAAAATACTATACAAAATATTAATAAATATTTTCTAACAATTTTCCCCTGATTTTGCATTTTTGGAGAGATTGTTGGGGCTTTATAAAAAATAGTTATTATTAAAAAATTCAGAAATAAATTATTGGATCTTATTCCTTAAATATTTATCAAGAAAGCAGAGTAGACCTATAAAAAATATTCATATTTAATCATTTCATAGCGAATCTACGAAAAACCGTTTTTTTCCATGCAAAATACACCATTAAATATTAATTAAAAAAATTTTTTTAAATACGTATCTCTTATTTTTCGATGCTTAACAGAATGAGGAGTTATGAAGTTTAAGATTCGAAATTTTGTTTTTTAAGAACCACCATAATATATCTTTTTTCCGAAAAAAGGATCAGCTACGATTTTCGGAGACGCAGATTCGGAATCTTGGGACGATTGTAAACAAAACTGCGTTAGCACAATTTCGGCTCATTTTAGGTAAACCTAAATGTGCTTTAGGACCACAGTGATAGTACAAATAAAAATTCGGTTAACTGGAATTTCCATCATTTAAAAAATTGAATCACATAAAATTCGATTGAATGAGAGTTCTGTTAAATTAAAATTGTTTAAATAAAAAGTCATGTAAAAAAATGACTGTAAAATGAAGAATCCGCCAATTAAAAATTTGGTAGTTAAACATTTTGTTAAGTAAAAATTTGTATAAAAAGAAATTCTGTCAAATACTAATTCAAAAAATGAAAAATTCTTTAAATAATAATTATATTTTAAAATTCTTTAAAATGAAATTTTGAGTTTTTTATTTTTCTACAAAAAAAGGCAAAAATCTTCAACAAAATTCAATTACAAGCAAATTCATCGAGGGGTTTTCAAGTATTTTTGTATTTTCTTGAAAAAATTGTCAAAAATGTACTGATTCTCAATTTTGTAAATGTTCATTGTATGAATAAAACTTTAAAAATTAGTGAATTTGTTTGGTATAGGTGTGTTTCCCCTGGCGGATTTAATTTACCTACATTCGACCCAGCTGGGGCGAATCTAAGTCGAATCTAAGTCGAATTTAGGTAATTATCAAAAAAAGCTTTGAATTGATGAAAATTTATAAAAATTAGTATTGTGAGGTTAAATGAACATTTATAGAGTTAATTTTTGTAAGAATTTTAATTATTAACGTGATAAATAATAAATAATCACTTGATATGTGCAAGTGGTAACTGTAGATTTTAACTCGTTGTCAGTTTTCATAATATTTTCAAGAAATTAGTGTAAAATGTGTGAAAAAATAATTTATATTTAATAGAAATTGCAAATTTTATTAAATTATTTTATTATTTATCGAGCACAGTTTAAAATAATTGCAATTTAATTTTAAAAAAAAGTTTTCTTAAAAGTGATAAGAACTCTACTATACCGACAGCAAGAGGATATTTTCAGGTAAGTAAAGTTATTGTAGCGTGTAGTTTTGTTGTGACTACAAGATGTCGCTTTATGTTCTATAGATTAGATATAAGATAGAACAGAGATGAATATTCATGAATATTTGATCATGAGATTTGATCCGTGGATTCGATGTTCCTGTCTGATCACTATAGAACATAAAGCGACATCTTTTAGTCACAACAAAACTACACGCTACAATAACTTTACTTACCTGAAAATATCCTCTTGCTGTCGGTATAGTAGAGTTCTTATCACTTTTAAGAAAACTTTTTTTTTTAAATTAAATTGCAATTATTTTAAACTGTGCTAGATAAATAATAAAATAATTTAATAAAATTTGCAATTTCTATTAAATATAAATTATTTTTTCACACATTTTACACTAATTTCTTGAGAATATTATGAAAACTGAAAACGAGTTAAAATCTACAGTTACCACTTGCACATATCAAGTGATTATTTATTATTTATCACGTTAATAATTAAAATTCTTACAAAAATTAACTCTATAAATGTTCATTTAACCTCACAATACTAATTTTTATAAATTTTCATCAATTTAAAGCTTTTTTTTGATAATTACCTAAATTCGACTTAGATTCGACTTAGATTCGCCCCAGCTGGGTCGAATTTAGGTAAATCAAATCCGCCAGGGTGTGCTCGATAAATAACAAAATAATTTAATAAAATTTGCAATTTCTATTAAAAATAAATTATTTTTTCACACATTTTACACTAATTTCTTGAAAATATTAAGAAAACTGACAACGAGTTAAAATCTGCAGTTACCACTTGCACATATCAAGTGATTATTTATTATTTATCATGTTAATAATTAAAATTCTTACAAAAATTAACTCTATAAATGTTCATTTAACTTCACAATACTAATTTTTATAAATTTTCATCAATTTAAAGCTTTTTTTTGATAATTACCTAAATTCGACTTAGATTCGACTTAGAATCGCCCCAGGTGGGTCGAATTTAGATAAATCAAATCCGCCAGGGTCATGACTTAACTGACTTTTATAATCATTAAAAACTTTTTTAAAAAGTCTATAGTTTCTTCTTTCCTTACTTATGTGAGTCACAATACATTTGTGTTCAAGTTTATTGACTTTGTAAAAATTTATTTAATTTTACCTATTAATTTTTTTCCGCAGATGTTTTTGTTTTTAAAAATTTATAATGTTTTTAACTTAATTTTAAAAAGAAATAGTTATAGTTATTTGCACTATCTAATTTCATTTTAGCAGTACACCTAAGAATTTGCTATTTATATAGCAGCTAACGTAATTTTCTTCGTGAAGCAATATATTACCAGTATTTTAATGAGATTGTAATAAAAGTCTTATTTAAAAAAAAGTATAATAATTCAAATTTTTAATTATGAGAATTGAAGATTTTCGAAAATTAAATTATTGGATCCAAAAGACAGAAAATAAAATATATGGAAAGATTTTTTGAAAAATCAAAAGTATCAAGGACAAAATTTTTTTCAATTTCGTATTCCATTTGTAAACCGTAATAAAACTGAATACCTCGTTTCTGTGATTGTAAATCTCTTTTTCGCCTAAATACATAACTCCACTGCTCGAAGTTTCGTCGCCGGTTATCATTTTAAAGGTCTTGCTTTTTACAGCACCGTTCACGCCCAGAGCATTTAATTGGATTAACGGAAAAATTGATTTCCTTGACGGCCAGCAAAAGACCACCGAATTGACTTAATTCATAAATCAAATAAATAGCGTCATTATCCATATCCATATTATCATTATTCCATATTACGCATTTATTCCATTGGAGTATGTAAATAATTGAAAGTAAAAAATTAAATTAGATAAAATTCACACAATAATTTTAGAAATATTCTTTGAATTTAGAATTTCATTGTTATTTATTACTAATTGTTATTCTGAGATAAAAATTAACAAATTGACAACTTACTCGCGGGGGATTTAATTTACTCAGCCCAAAAAGCGACCGCCAATTTCTCCTTTTCCACCTGGTCGTTCATCTCATTCATACAACATTTTCGCTCGTTTCTCTTGATGTTCATCAAGATTAAAGGTGTTACTTTTTGTTTGAACAATCCGAAAATTGTGAAGTACAATAACCGAGTCCAATTCATGTAAAGCAAGCTTTCTGTGAGATTTATGTCCCCCTTGAAATTATGAATTTTTCGCACTTTCCATTATGACACTTGGGGCCTGAAAATCGAAGTCCGCATATTAAAATATAGTAAATAATGCTAATTTTTTATTAGCAGAGAGATTAGTCTCACCACAACATTTGCTTTCTACCAGATAAGCAACATTTAAAAATTGCTACGGCGATTGACGACTCTGCGCGTTTTAAACCGCCGTTTCAAAGACCTGACCGCTGGCAGTAGAAGAAACTTGTGTACGGAATCATCAAGAAAATCTTTTTTTGCTTTTCCCGCGTAATCTCAATATAACTATCATGTCACTTATGTTTAACATCAACATGTGGAGAATCATTTCCATTGCAACTGAAAGTCCAGTAAGTAATATTTAATTTAATTCAATTTATTCTTTAAATTAATTTAATATTTAATTATTAAACTTACTACTTAATTTCATTTACCATAACAAAATAATTTTTCGAGATTTCCTTGCTCTAAGTATTTATCGCAAACAATACTAGCAATAGCACAAAATATCAAATCGTTGAAAAATCAAATTCCGTTAGATTTTAAATTTCCATTAAAACGATAATAATTAATAAATTATTATTATTAAATTTCAACTTTTTAATTAATTAATTAATTAATTAATTAATACTTAAGGAGTCTCACCTATTTCCCTTCCGTAGAACTTTCGAATATCGAATATGTGATCAATGTTGTAAAATCCAATCAAGATGAAAATGATGGACACGAAGAAAATGGCGAAATCAAATAGGAAAAGAGTTCCGACCCGGGATTCCAACTATTCCCTAAAGTTAACTTATCATATCTTGTGTCTCTCAGCAATCTCACTCGTTTTATACATATTTGCGAATTTCTGACTTTAAGCATTAACTGCATATAATCGTCACCGGCCTTATCGACTTCAATGTTTTTTATTTATCTTGTATACTATATATAATAACAATTTTTCAGCTCAAATAGTTAAAAAAAATAATAATATTTAAAATATTCAAAAATCATTAGGTTGAAATGTATTTAATGTTGCCTGTGTCACATTTTTTGACGATCTTCATTGTCGCTGAAAAAAGAATAATTGCTAATTATTATCGTTCAGTTGAATTAAGAATAATTAATTTTTCTAAGCGTATAATATATTGAAGTTTTACCTGTTGATCCTGACGGGGTGTGTACTTCAATTTTTGAGTCGGCTAAAATAAGATGAGTTACATATATTCAGTATAATGTACAAAAAATTAAATTCTTACATTAGAAGATAAAAAGGGAATGAAAGAAATCAATAATGCGCTTTATTTTATTCTTACTTGACCCTCCTTCAGGAAATTTGAGAATCAAAATTTTCTTTGCTGGAGGAACTTTAGAATACATGATTCTTTTGGACGGTTTTGTTATCTCCACGATTTTCGGACCACCTAATGACCTGGTTTTTTCTGAAATAAATTGCAATTAAATCTATGACATAAAACAATTTACATAATAATATTCTTAAAACATTCACATTAGATTAAGTTTGTAAATGTTATTATATATTTAATTATATAAAGGCAACTATTAGGTTTTAAATTTTTTTTTACTTTCCTGTTTTGAAAATGATAATAAATCGACAAAATCGGACGTTTTCTTTTTTGTTAAAAAATCAATGAAATAAAATTTTTAATATGTAAGAAAAAAATTGTGTCAGGTACATTTTTCGAGAGGTAAGACCCTGCAGATTGATTTAAAAAACTAAAAAAAAATTCAAGATTTTTTATAGAATTTAGTAAATTGCGATTATCTTTCATTACGCGAAATAGTAGAATTAAATTTTTAAATTTGGAAAAAGAAATTTTATAGATATCGTACCTGAATTTTCTGAAGAAAGTTTATTTAAAGAAAGCTTCGTAGCTGGCCTTCTCTCAACTACTGCTTGCTGTTTTAACGATTCAGATCTTAACGGTGTTTCAACTGCCGACGATATTGAACTGGTCGTAAGATCTGCTGCTAAAATTATTAATAGACCCTAATTAAATATCTAATATATTTTACAGATACGTTATTTGGAAAAATAATCCCTATTATATATAAAATGCACACATTAATTGATAACGTTGAAAAAAATTTAATTAATGCTCAGTTTTTTGTCGGGAAAACAGCCCGGATTGTATTCCGCTCGTATTTCCAGACGAAAAATTGTAAATGGCCCCTCGGATTTCCAGGCGAATTTTCTGGGGGTATATTTTCACCCAGGAAGGGATAATACAAAAAATGTAATTTTATATTTTTTAAGCTGTCATACTTAATTTTTCTTTCATTACCTTCTCGTGTAGAAGTAGAAGCTTCAGTCCTCGCTGTTGGTAATAGCTTCTTTAGTTTCTCAGAAGTTGCCGTCCATTTTTTAAGTTTATATTCTATTTTCTTTTCTTTGCGGCTTTTTCTCGTTGTCCCTTTAAAAATTATTTTTATACAATTTTTAATTTTTTTATATATTTAAAAAATGTTAAGGGGTCAGTCCACGATCAAGGTATGTATGGATTGTATGGACAGACCCCTTCAGCAAAATTTGTTTCTCTTACTTTGATATCCTGAAGGAGGTTTTTGCACTTTAGGATACTTGTCCTTCCTTCTGGCGGCTATAAGTTGTAGAATATAATAAGAAATTTAAATATAAATCTCAAAGTATTTTAACTCTGTCACGTTGTAATTAAAAAAAAATAAACAATTGACTTTTTTTATATACATTAAAGACCATACGTTTTGTAAAATTATATTTAAAGACCTTACGACGGAAACCTACTGTAAGAAAATAAAGATTCAAAGAAAAAAATATGAATACAAAATTACTTTATGTTATTTGTCCATTGGTTTTAAATATTTAAATTTACTAAAATATTATTTAAAATTAGTTTTACATTTTAAATTTGTTAAATTCTTTTTACTATTAACTGTATTTATTTATATTTACTGTTTCTTGGTTTCTTAAGGAGCTCGTTAGTTCCTATTGCTGCTGACGAACTTTCGGCGGTTATCACAACACCTTGTCGTGATGTGGCTGATGAGTGCTGTGCTGTTAACGAAACAAAGATATAGCTCTATACCTCATTTTATATATATAAAATTTTATGTTTCACATTCCTTTATTCTTACCATTTTGATTTGCATTTACCCAAAGATTTTCTGATATCCCAGTAAAAATTGTCCCTAAAAAATATGACGCAACATTGATAAATGAATTAAATTAATCATTACCTACATCATTGTGCGACATTAAAAGAACTTCAGACTTTATTTTTATCATAATAAACAATTATTTTCTTTTGATTTTTAAATAACACTTACAACAATCTTGATGTTGTCGTGCAGAATTGTACATTTCGCCACAATTTTGACATTTTTGAAGGGCATGTAAGGCCTCGACATGAGAATAATATGTCTCTGTGTCAGGAAAAACTTCATTGCAAAACGGACACGTACATTCGCCACCATTTATGGCATCATTCCAAGGAGCCCCACGAATTCATCGTCTGAAAATAATAGTGTTAATTTCGGGCGCACATTTGTTTCACATTTTATTAAATATATAAAATTTGTGTAACCTCCAGTGACTAAAGACTTGTGGAATTGTACATTACTGTAAATGATCGATGTACAATTTTGTAAAAATTCGAGAAGCAGTGTTCTTCATTCTCTTATAGTGGCGAATTCGGCTTTTTCGATTCGCCGCCAATTTTCCATAATAATTTCCTCCCTGTGTTCTTCTTCTTCAGTCATTCTTCTTTGAACATGACTGTTTTTCATTCGATCATTATAATTGTGGTGAACGATTTGAATGAATGTTTTCAATTTGCCTAATGTACAAACAATTGAAAATATATGAATACATATTTATTAGGCTGGCTATATATTTTACTTGATCTAAGGATTTAAATAATATTTAAATTTAATTTAATTATTTAGTATACCGATAGAATAATATATTATATTATTCTATCGGTATACTAAATAATTTTCCATAAAACTGTCAATTTATACGACTTTTCACATACATGTATATATATATTACCTGTAACTCTGCAACCTGTTTTTCTGTTGAATTCGATCATTATATTGCTCCATGATTGGTTTTTTTTACATTATCTTTGTAAGTTTTCAAAGATGAATCATAAATAATTGGGTGTTGTTGCACCAAACGAATCAATACGTGATTTATATCATCACTCATTATTTCAATTTGCTGTAAACATTACTTAAAATTAATATTAAAAGTGGATCATGAATAAAGCAGAAAGTGATTATAATTAAATAAACTCAAATATAATAACTGCAATGCAGCAAGTTTTCTGCAAGTACATGCAAAAATTCGCTGCATTCAAATTTCTATAAAATAACAAATCGAAATTGTCTAGCTGACCAAAAATTTTTCTTACATAGTGTGTATCTGCCTAATAATATAATAATGAATATGTTATATTTTTAAAAAAATTTTAATTTATTTTCCCAATAAAAAATATACCGAATTATAAATATAGTAGGTTGAAAAGAACATCACTGTTAAAGAAGTCAGTGTAAAAAATGAGTCATGTAATTAAACACATGGAAATAATACTATGTGGCACGAGTTAATTTACAACGTTTGTTTTACAAGTTTTTTAACTTATCATAGTAACTTTGAATCGTACTACGAAATAATTCTACTAAACTGTGTAATTTTACTACGTCCGACGTGGGAAATTTTGATCAACACGTTGGACGTGTACATTTACATGGATTTAACACATGCGATATAAATTGTATTTAAGAATGTGGAAAAACATGTAAGTTATGTTCAATTACATGCCGCTTGTGAATTTACGACATCGGACGTAGTGAAATAACACGAATTTTTTTAAGTGATGCTAATATAACCTAAAAAATATTTTAATTATAATATACTACTCACCTAATGATAAAAATGATGTAATAACAATAATTATTATACTATCCGATTACAGTCCACAAACAACAAACACAATATTATTGAACTGGATCGAAATTATTTATTTTTCGAAAACTTGAGAACAAAGTCAAAATTGTAGCACACCGTGCATGCACATATAAACAATAACAAACTTTTGATTTTGATGATACTTGAATTACAGGAATAGTGAAATCTGGAACTATAACCTCAGTTATACTGCGCGCGCAACGTTTTTACAGTGCATTTTGTTCGTGTTGACACCAACTAAAAAAAAGAAAGTTATTGTAGAAGCAGCTTCAGGAAAGCTAACCCGCTTTCCCAAAAAGCGTACTCGTTCACCCTT